TCACCACCACACAGCTGTGGATAAGGTGCCTGCTGGAGGTCTGAAGAATTTTGCATGGGCGTTCAGGCAATGTTACATATTCTGTGGCATTGTCACAATATTATGAATGTTCCGAAACAAATCATTGAGAAAACAAATGGAATTTGGGACCAGGGTTTAAATTAAGTCCGAATGCACCAGGACATCAGACAAGTCCATGTAGTGGATAGAACCCTGGACAGGGACTTGAAAAAGCAGGGTTCTATTCCTGACTTGGCTCCTGGCCTGCTTGGTGACCACAGTCAATTCATATCACTGCTCTGTACCTCAGTTTCCCTGTCTGTAAAATGAGGATAATTAGGCTTATCGCCTCTGTAAGGCATTGTGAGATTTACTGATGAAAAGAGCTAGGTTTGTCTTTAGGGGCTCTACTAATTTCACTAAAATTTGTGCTTTCTTTGAGATAAATGTCAAACTCGTATGACTGCATAGAAACTTTCTGAATTTGAAGTGGTTTTCTGTTTACATGAGACTGTAGATGCAGAATGGAACACAGGCACCTATGGCATAACCTCAGTCGCGCTAAGAGCAAGCTGCAGAGCTCCCATTCATTTAAACAGATTGTTAATACCAAGGCTACTGAATGTTGCCAATTTGTAATCACCCAGTTTTAATGAGGTTAGAATTTATTCAGTAATTAAAGAGCATAAGTAAGCTTGATTGGATTCATGAATATAATTAGTTAATTAGACAGCACATAACAAAAAGAGAGAGACATCACCACAATCTGTGAAAACCAATTGCTGGACAGTTTAGCTTGCACTATTTGTCTGGTCCTAGTTTTAAATTTGGATTTACAAATTAACCTTCCTAGAGCCAGTCCTGTTTACGATTTCAGTCTTATTCCTTCCTCTTTTTCCCATACAGACATTTGTTATTAACTTATATCTTTTCGGTAAGTCCATCAAAATTTTGTTAACATAAGCATATGTATTTGTTTGTTAATATAGTACATCACTGAAAATATGTATTCCGAGCAGGCTAGCATTTTCTCTTCTTAGCATGACTCCCAGAGCATCAGGGGGAAGTCTGGCCTATAGATCAACGTGATAATTTCATTGTCAGCATTTTAAATTATTTTACTTCTGATCAGTTTATCAGAATCACACAGCTAATATGCTTATTCAAGATGGCTGGATATCAGAGATGCTGAACATGTAAATTGCTTTTAGATCATTGCAGGGTTTTTCATCAGGGTGTGTTCCTGTGCTTGGTCTAGTTCAGTTTTAAATGTTGCAAACCCTGGTACTTCAAACAATTCCCTTAGGACACTATTCCTATATAATTAATCCAATACTGACTACTCCTATCCTATTCATCTAACAATAGAATATCTTAATCTCAGTTGTGCTCTCTAAGTGCTACTGTAATAAAGTTGATAATTATTTAATTCACCTGGCACTGTCTCTCATTCAATCCCCTCGGCCCAGCACTTCCCCCAGCCCAGCCCAGCCACACTCTCCACCCTATTCCATTAAACCAGTACTGCTCCCATCCTAGCCCCTCTCTCCCAGTGTTATTCATTTATCTTGCAGTAGCCCCAGTCAGGAACAGGGACCCATTGTGCCAGAAGATCTGTATAAAACACATAGTCCTTGCCCTAGAGATTGTACAGTTTAGTCTGAGATCAAACATATCAACACTGTGACAAACAATAGGAGAGGAGGGGTCGGAGGAGGAGGTATCAGTAATAAGACTATGTAATTAAATGATTTAACAGTTTGGAAGTTCAAACCATTTATTTTGATAGACCTGCTTCTTTACATCTTAACCCCAGATCCGTACTGTATTCTATCCCTTCCCACTACTACTATCTAGATAGTATCAGGGGGTAGCCATGTTAGTCTGTATCCACAAAAACAACAAGGAGTCCGGTGGCACCTTAAAGATTAACAGATTTATTTGAGCATAAGCTTTCGTGGGCTAGAACCCACTTCATCGGATGCATGGAGTGAAAATTACAGATGCAGGCATTATTATACTGACCCATGAAGAGAAGGGAGTTACCTCACAAGTGGAGAACCAGTGTTGACAGGACCAATTTGATCAGGGTGGATGTAGTCCACTCCCAATAATAGATGAGGAGGTGTCAATTCCAGGAGAGGCAAAGCTGCTTTTGTAATGAGCCAGCCACTCCCAGTCCCTATTCAGGCCCAAATTAATGATGTTAAATTTGCAAATGAACTTTAGTTCTGCTGTTTCTCTTTGAAATCTGTTTCTGAAGTTTTTTTGTTCAAGTATAGCTACTTCTAAATCTGTTATAGAATGTCCAGGAAGATTGAAGTGTTCTCCTACTGGCTTTTGCGTGTTACCATTCCTGATGTCCAATTTGTGTCCATTTATTCTTTTACGTAGGGACTTTCCGGTTTGGCCAATGTACATGGCAGAGGGCCAATGTACATTGCTGGCACATGATGGCATATAAAACATTAGTAGACGTGCAGGTGAATGAGCCCCTGATGGTGTGGCTGATGTGGTTGGGTCCTCCTGATGGTGTCACTAGAGTAGATATGGGGACAGAGTAGGCAATGAGGTTTGCTACAGGGATTGGTTCCTGGGTTAGTGTTTCTGTGGTGTGGTGTGTAGTTGCTGGTGAGTATTTGCTTCAGGTTGGGGGGCTGTCTGTAAGCGAGGACTGGCCTGCCTCCCAAAATCTGGGAGAGTGAGGGATCATTTTCCAGGATAGGTTGTAGATCACTGATAATGTGCTGGAGAAGTTTTAGCTGGGGGCTATACGTGATGGCCAGTGGTGTTCTGTTGTTTTCCTTGTTGGGCCTGTCCTGTAGTAGGTGATTTCTGGGTACCTGTCTCGCTCTGTCAATCTGTTTCCTCATTTCCACAGGTGGATATTGTAGTTTTAAGAATGCTTGATAAAGATCTTGTATGTGTTTGTCTCTGTCTGAGGGATTGGAGCAAATTCAGCTGTATATTAGGGCTTGGCTGTAGACAATGGATCATGTGATGTGTTCTGAATGGAAGCTGGAGGCATGTAGGTAAGTATAGCGGTCAGTAGGTTTCCAGTATAGGGTGGTGTTTATGTGACCTTATTTGCACTGTAGTGTCCAGGAAGTGGATCTCTTGTGTGGACTGGTCCAGGCTAAGGTTGATGGTGGGGTGGAAATTGTTGAAATCCAGTTGGAATTCTTCAAGGGCCTCCTTCCCGTGGGTCCATATGATGTCATAAATGTAGCGCAAGTAGAGGAGGGGCGCTAGGGGACAAGAGATGAGGAAGCATTGTTCTAAGTCAGCCATAAAAATGTTGGCATACTGTGGGGCCATGCAGGTACCCATAGCAGTGCCACTGACTTGAAGGTATAAGTTGTCCCCAAATCTGAAATGGTTGTGGGTGAGGACACAGTCACAAAGTTCAGCCACCAGGTGTGCCGTGGCCTCATCAGGGATCCTGTTCTTGACAGCTTGTAGTCCATCCTCATTTGGAATATTGGTGTAAAGAGCTTCTACATCCATGGTAGCCAGGATGGTGTTTTCAGGAAGATCACCAATGCATTGTGTTTTCCTCAGGAAGTCGGTGGTGTCTTGAAGATAGCTAGGAGTGCTGGTAGCGTAGGGTCTGAGGAGGGAGTTTAAATAGCCAGATAATCCTGTTGTAAATGTGCCGATGCCTGAGATGATGGAACGTCCAGGGTTTCCAGATTTATGGATCTTAGGTAGCAAATAGAATACCCCTGGTCGGGGCTCTGGGGCTGTGTCCATGTGGGGATTTGTTCCCGTGCTGTAGCAGGGAGTTTCTTGAGCAGCTGGTGTAGTTTCTTTTAGTACTCCTCAGTGGGATCAGAGAGAGGATAGTGGCATGTAGACTGTGGTGTTGGAGAGTTGCCTGGCAGCCGCCTGTTCATAATCCGACCTGTTCATTATGACTATACCACCTCCTTTGTCAGCCCCTTTGATTATAATGTCAGAGTTGTTTCTGAGCCTGTGGATGGCGTTGCGTTCTGTGCGGCTGAGGTTATGGGGCAAGTGATGCTGTTTGTTCACAATTTCAGCCTGTGCACGTCTGCGGAAGCACTCTATGTAGAAGTCCAGTCTGTCATTTCGACCGTCAGGAGGAGTCCACGCAGAATTCTTCTTCTTGTAGTTTTGGTAGGAGGGTTCCTGTGGGTCAGTGCGCTGTTCAGTGGTGTGTTGAAAATATTCCTTGAGTTGGAGATGACGGAAGTAGGCTCCCAGATCACCACAGAACTGCATCATGTGCGTGGGAGTGGTGGGGCAGACAGAGAGTCCCTGAGATAGGACAGACTCTTCCACCGGGCTAAGTGTGTGGTTGGATAGATTAACAATATTGTTAGGTGAGTTGAGGGTACCACTGTTGTAGCCCCCTGTGGCATGTAGGAGTTTGAGATAGTTTATTGTCCTTTTTCCGCAGATGCCCATGAAAGCTTATGCCCAAATAAATCTGTTAGTCTTTAAGGTGCCATCGGACTCCTTACTCGCTAGCTACTTACATCCCCCCCATCAGTGTCACCTCACTATTTAGCTTAGGCTGTGGCCTAGGGAAGCACGATTGTGCCCATTTCAGAGCGTGAGGGACAGAGAGAGGCACTGAACTCGGCTGTGGGGCTTGGCCCGGTCCAGGCTCTCAGCGTTCCACGAGACGTCCTTTTTCCTACTGACCCACATCTCTGCCGCCCGCCCAGCCCCTGGCCATGCCCTGGCTACCTGATGCAATCAGCCGCCGGCTTTGCTCTACGCACCGCCCGCCGAAAGATCCCCGCTCAGTTGCATCATCCCGGATTGATACAGGAGTCAGCATTCGACCAATCAGCGAGCGAGCTCTGCCGGGACTGACGGCCCTTCCTCCCAATCACAGTTCCGCATGGAGGCAACGGACCGGAGCCGGGGCCGCTGATTGGAGGCGGCGACAAGGAGCCCCTTTCTCGCGCCCGTCACGGACAGGTGGGCGGAGCTTGCCGGCGGGCTGGGGTTTAAAGCGCTGGGGCGGCCGGCGTTCCGCTCAGTGCCCGGCCGCCCGGTCCCGCCGTCTGAGGCACCTGCCGGGGAGAGCCGCCCCCGCCGTGTTCGCGCCCCGCCTCTGCGCTGGGGCTGCCCCCGTGCACCCGCCTCGCCGCCAGCGGCCCCGGCCCCCGCCGCCTGGGCTCCTGCAGCGGGGCGATGAAGCGGGACCCGCCGCCCGCCGAGCGCCAGGCGCAGGAGGAGGATGCTGGGGAGCAGAAAACGCCCCTCTGGATCTTCGGCTACGGCTCCCTGGTGTGGAGACCCGACTTCGAGTTCAGCTCCAGGAAGGTGGGCTTCATCCGCGGCTACAGCCGCCGCTTCTGGCAGGGAGACACCTTCCACCGCGGCAACGAGAAGATGGTAAAGGGGGATCGGGCCCCGGCTGCGGGGGGCGGGGATCGGGCCCCGGGAGGGGAGAAGGTGGGTAACCCTGGTGGTGAATCTCTCTCTCTCTCCTTGCCCTGGCCATGGAGGTGGCCAATCAAAGCCACCCCTTGGCACCTACCTGCCCTTGGTGCCTGGATGGGATGGGCCACTTACCCCTGTTGGAAGTGGTAAGTGGCCCTTGATACTGATAAAGGCACCTGCCCAAGCTCTCTCTTCAGGATTCAGCTCCACATCTAATAATCTTGGAAAAAATCTGCTTCCCTCCCACCCTGCTGTGCCTCCTGGCACAACCCATACCCTATCTGAAGCTGGTGCCATCATTATGCTGTCTCATGAGCCTGCAGTGTAGTGGTGGTACCAGAGCTGCAGTGGGTGTCAGCAGGGCTGTATCACCCTAGCCTGCCTGTACTGGTGACTTGGTACTTGATCTGGTTTCTAAAATGATATTTCTCTCCTGTGTAGCCTGGCCGTGTGGTTACCCTCCAGGAGGATTATGATGTAAGTATCTACATCTAGCATTTATTTATTTATACATACATACATACACCTATAGCTGCTACTATTCAGGTTTATTATATGGCTTTAGGTGGATTACTCCCATAGTAATGACACTAGACTATTTCAGTAGCTAATCAACATCTCCATCATTAACGACATGGCAATGGTAGCCCCTTGGCAACTGTATCTTATAATAATGGTATAATAACCCTGGGAAATTGTTTTGTGGGTTGGTATAAATCAATATGATGGCCTTACTGGAGTTCTTATTTTTTTTTATTGACACTCCTTTGGGCTGACTGCATTAGTCAGCAAACTCAGCTGGAAGTGAAGGAATTGCAGACACTACTTTAGACCATTCAGCCAAAGAAGGTTTAGAGTTAAAACTAGAGACCTGACAAATGAAATGAAATGGGATATGATGTGCCAAATTCATCACCCATATACTCACACTCACTTTAGTGCTTTTCACCAGGAATTAATCTGGTCCCTCGTCCTGCAAGATGAAAGTGAACACTAGGTTTACCCCTCCAGAATAAGCTAGTCAGAAGGTAGAGACCCTTTTTGCCCCATGAAAGAGTACTAGGCTGCTGGGAGTGTTCTGGGGCCAGTTTCTCTTATTTCAATGGCATACAGCAAGGGCTGAATTTTGCACTTTAAGTGACTTTGAAAGACAGAGGTGACTATTCCTTGTTGCCTTCTTGGAGAGCAGAAGAGGGAGACCATATCTTCCTCCATCCCTTCCTCCATCAGTTGTGTGGTCCCTTCTCAGATGCCTGATGGTCTTTTCAGGCCTTGTTCCCATTGTTTAACTAGACAGGGTGACCATGCATCCTGAAACAAAAGGTTTTGTGTATAGGAAATGCTGGTGCATTTGTTGCAGATACAATGCAACAGCAAATAATCTTCACTTGTAATTTCAGGCATGCACGTGGGGTGTTGCCTATGAAGTCCGTGGAGAGCAGATTGCTGCATCACTCCAGTACTTGAACATGCGAGAAGCAGTCCTGGGGGGCTATGACACTAAACTAGTGAAGTTCCACCCCCAGGATAAAGAGGCTGACGAACCCATCTTGGCCCTAGTTTACATTGCTACACCCCAGAACCCCACCTACCTTGGCCCAGCGTCTGAAGAGGACATTGCAGCCCAGATCATTGTCTCGAGCGGTCGCTCTGGACACAACATAGAGTATCTGCTGCGACTGGCAGACTTCATGCGCTACTTTTGTCCCAAGGTGGAGGACGAACACTTGTTTTCCATTGAGGAGGCCCTCATTTCCATCCTGCCCTGTCTATGCCAGGCTGAGAATCCCTCAGTGGAAGTGTGAACATCGTGAAGGTTGAAAGGGGGGACGTCTTCATTTCAAAATGTCAAATGAAGACATGGGGGGGAGGAAGGAAAACAAGGACCAAATACATTGGACTGGGGGAGACCTGAGCAAGTAACTGGGGGTGGGGAAACTGCTACAAGCATACTTGAGCTGCCACTCCCCACCTGTAGAAACATGGTGGCCATTCCTGGTCTCCTGGCTGGGTGGGAGGATCTTGACTGCTTGGTGAGTTTGCACTGTAAGGTTTGGTTCCGTGGCAGTCAGATGTGAAGAGTGTGGTGTTCACCCCTCTCCTTTCAGAGAGAGGATGCTGGCCTCTTCAGTGTACTTTTATTTTGGACACCAGTTGAGCTGGACTTGACTGCAGTGTTGTTTTCACAGTATAACGGTCACTCTACCTCAGACTGGCAAAGCTACTTATACGGTGGTGGGGACAAGAGCATGCTTGGTATCAAATGAGACCTCCTCTTTCTTCCCTCTCCCACCTCCAGTACAGTGACCTGACTCTTTAAAGTATAATGCCGGGGCTCCTGTGCAATATAAAATTAATTTGCCTCTATAGGTTCTTATGAGCCCTACCTCCTTATATATGTCTCAAAGGGACAGAACCAATGCACTTACTTTTGCAACTTGAAGATGTATGTATTGTAATGTGTAGTAATATATATTTCCTTAAGAGGGGGAACGTCCCTCTGCTGGTGTAGAGGCTCATGCCCTGCAGTGCAGGGTGTGGCACAAAGGCATGAGCCCCTTACCAGACCTTGAGTTTACATGTGGAGAAAAAGCTGTCCTGAGAGTGTTGAGCGGGGAGAAGGAAGCTGATGAAGCACTAAAGCCTAAACTCATCAGCTTCACCTGTCAAGTTCCCTGCTGTTAAATAGTATATGTGACAGAGCTGCTGCTATTGCAAGGTCTGGTTGAATCCCTCTCGAGAACGGACTCTTGACAACATGGACTAGTCTTGTTTTTTAAACAGTTTCTCCATGATGGGGGAGAGGAAACGTTTGCCTGACATGTTACTGTGGCTTGTGTATATGAGGAAGTGAAAGTGTATTGTGCCCAGTAATAAAACCAACTGACACTAAAATGAAAAACAAACCTGATGGATTCTTTTAAGCAGCACAGTTTATGCATTTTTTTGTGGGGGTGGATTAAAAGCGAACGGCCCACACCGAGAGAATACCCGGCGCACAAGTGACTCCACTACTCATTTTCCCTGGTGCAGGGCCCTAGAACAAGCAGTTTTCCTCCCGTCCTAGCTCTGGGGTGGAGAAGGCTGTACAGCTCCCATCATCACCCTGTTACTGTATCTTATCGATGTCAGAGTGATGAGAAGTTCCCTTTCTGCTGGAGGGCTTTCCTGTTTCACAAGATTCTGACAGGATGTCACATTTTCTTGATCTAAAAGGTCCGCATCCCAATTTTGACCTGTGGCACTTTGTGAGTAAAGAGAGCCTGAGGCCTGTAATACTCACTACATCCCCCAGCTAATGTGACATGCCTGGTACAAACCACCCCAGCTGCCCTTTTTGGGTATCTCAAGAACCAAACTGAAAATAGCTAGGTGAAGTCAGACAGGGGACTGTGCCATTTGTGTGCTATCAGTTTAGCCATTTCCTCCCTCTTTCCCAGAGGCTGCCTCCTCTGCCTACTCACACCTTCCTGCCTTTTTCTGTCATGTTGCTTGTAGGGGAAGCAGTGTGGCCTAGGGGCTAGAAAACTGGACTGGGACTCAGAAGACCTCTATTCTCAGCTCCTCCACTGACCTGTTGTGTGACCTTGGGCAAGTCATGCCACTCCTCTGTGACTCAGTTTTCCTATCTGAGATAACGATACTTACCTGGTTTGAAAAGTGCCATCTGAGCTAGGTATGATTATACCTAGAACAGCTTCCTTCATCCATTACCCCTAGACTTTCTTCTTCAAGCCCCCTCCTACACACTCACTTCTAGTAGATTGCCTCCCACTGCTTAACAATCCTCTCCTATCTACGTTAGGAACAAATTAAACTCTACAAAGTGTTTGTCAAGTCTAAATAATACCACACAAGTCACATGATTTTAATCCCTGCTTGATCCATCCCCCTTTCTCCATCCTCTGATGAGATGATAAACTCTTCACTGGAGGGAACTTGGTCCTGATTCACTGTTGCCTTACAACACAACAGTAGCATTTTATACCTACTTTACACTGCTATAACTAACTATATAAGGTTCAGGAAACCAGTTAATCTGCCTCTTTCTCTTCACATATAAATCACCATACACATCTATGGTACTGTTCCCACAAGGCCAGAGTATGAAGGGGGGAAACAAATTCGGACAGGAAAAGGGTTAAGAGGAGACAAAAGAGATAAAAAAATCTGGTTCTTCAACCTTAGACTATCATCTAATTTCCAGCTGACCGCCACCTAAAAGCTGGGAGCTGGTCTATACCAGCAAACTTCATGCCCATCATTCACCATCTGTACAATTCCAACATTGGTAGCAGACATAGAAATGGTCATGTAGGTCAGGCTCAGGATTTGTTTGTTTTTACCATGTCACCTACCCCTAGTCTGGGTTAGAAGACATGGTCGTAAAAGTACCTGAACTGCACCGGTGATGAATTACAGGTATGAAGTTTGCTAGATTAGATGCAGCCTTGAGGGGCTTGGAAAGGGTTGATGTTACTTGCCATGGGAAATGGAAGGAGGGTTGAAGTACTTGTTTCTGGATTGCAGTAGCCTAGTGGTGCAAGAAAGGGAAGAGGTGCAAGAGCACTAGAGATCTGTGGTGGGGGACTGAGGTTCTTTGTCTGGGTGGAAAGGTTCGGTAGCCTAGTGGTGGGGTGGGTCAGTCTTCCTTGAGAGATATTTAAGCAGCTGGAAAATGGGTGTATGTTACAATTGAGGCAGTTCTGAGAGTTCACCATAGTATGAATTGTCTCTTTCTGGCATTTGCTCCCAGTGATGGAACTGGCAAACTGTTCATTTTGTAGCTGTATCAGCAGTCCATGTACAGCTGTTCATATCTGGCATACACATGATTCCACTTGTGTTTGCTAGCCTGCCAGCTAGCTGGGGGACAGATTTTGTTGTTGGTTTAATCACTTACAGGTGTTTCACAGGCAGAGAAAAGGTAAAAATGTACCATAGGTATCTATCATGCCAGCCACGCTCAACCACTAGAGATGTGTATTCTGGCTTTTGTGCATACCCTAGAAAGTGGTCCACATACTTTATAATAAACTCAATGTGGTCAACAATGGCTGAACCAAACAGAGCTTTTCCAGCTGTAGCCATGGCACTAGCAGCATTCGGTATATACAGTCGATGGTAGGCACCTCATAATGAGAATAGTATTTTCTGTCACAGTCACGTATTCCATTCCTACTACCTTAAAATAGGAGCCTGACATCTGTACACCAACAACAATAGTAGTAAGACTGACTCACAAACTGCTGCATGAATCAGTCAAAGCAGTACATGTAGAAGCTGTTCCATATTATACTGAGAAGCTCTTAAATACGCAATTACATACAAACCCATCAATTTTACACAAATCACGTACATTTGCAAGTAAAATAAAAAGACCAGAATAGCACCACCAGCAGCCAACATGTTACAAAATCCCATCACAAGCCATCCCAGGAACTGATCCAATTTATGAGTGAAAGGATGTAGGTGGTGGTTTGCTTTAACTCACTTCATACTAAATTCCAGTTTCCATCTGCTGACAGGTCAACATCCTGCCTCCCAAAGTTACAGGAAAATTAAGGAATGGACAGGGTTTTAATTTTGGGGTTGTTTTAAGTTTAGTTTTCTATTTTGAGCGATGTGCATTCTCTTGAAATGTGTTGAACTGAGTGCCACTAAGTCTGAAACTTTCTCTATAAATCATCTAACATGTTCAGTATGGACAGTAGATATGCACAGTTCCGCACACATCACTCTGCCAATGTGCCTTTAACCTTAACACTGACACACCAAGCTCATTTTCCAAGCTCATTTAATTCTTGGACATCTCAGCAGAGCAGCCAAACAAAGGTTGTGTGGTTTTTATGATGTTCACATTTATCCACTAGGAGCTGCAGTGTTGCAACAATAGCTAAAAGCCTGTAATTCCAATCTAAGCCCAGTTTCGACACACATACCCCTATCTTTAGTCAAAAACAGAAGAACTCCCCTTTTAGCCTCAAGTTTTAAATGCCTCAAGTCTTATGCCAGAGGAGAATATTCTTGGGAAGTCTGAGGCCACTAAAATACATTTGTGAATTAAGGGTCTTCAGATAAAAGTTATACATGGAAATACATTTTATACAGAATGAATGATTAACCAGAGGAACTGACTGCCACAAGATATCATGGAATCCAAGAGTTTAGCAGGCTTCAAAAAAGGATTCAATAGCTCAGACATAGGTTAGGGGTTTGGTACAGGAGTGGGTGGGTGAGATTCTGTGGCCTGCATTGTGCAGGAGGTCAGACTAGATGATCATAATGGTCCCTTCTGACGTTAGAGACTATGATTCTATGAGTCTATATGGATAAAGAGAATATCTACAGTTGTTGTAGGTAGAATATAATATGTATGGGATGGAGACTCATGTTCAGGGCATAAAATAATCACTGACCAGATTAAAAAACATAAAATCATAGAATCATAGAGTATCAGGGTTGGAAGGGACCTCAGGAGGTCATCTAGTCCAACCCCCTGCTTAAAGCAGGACCGATCCCCGACTAAATCATCCCAGCCAGGGCTTTGTCAAGCCTGACCTTAAAAACTTCTAGGGAAGGAGATTCCACCATCCTATGTGGGCATGTTACTCCTTTTTATTGTCATACACAAGAGAGACTCCTTTTTATCATCTAGGTATTTATATGTCCCTCATTACTGTAGTATCTGAGTGCCTTCCATACATGTCCATTAAAGAGTGCCCTCCTCCAAAATATTTCGTACTGGATTGTCCGACACAGATAGTGGGCTAGATGGATCACAGGCTTGATCCAGTATGGCAATTCCTATCTTTCACCCCGCTCCTGTATCCCACAACCACCCTTACCTTTTCATGCCCTTCTAATACAGCCACATAAACTCCTCCGCCTTCCACACTACAAGAAGGATGTGGAAAAATTGGAAAGAGTCCAGCGGAGGGCAACAAAAATGATTAGGGGACTGGTACACATGAGTTATGAGGAGAGGCTGAGGGAACTGGGGATGTTTAGTCTACAGAAGAGAAGAATGAGGGGGGATTTGGTAGCTGCTTTCAACTACCTGAAAGGGGGTTCCAAAGAGGATGGCTCTAGACTGTTCTCAGTGGTAGGAGATGACAGAACAAGGAGTAATGGTCTCAAGTTGCAGTGGGGGAGATTTAGGTTGGATATTAGGAAAAACTTTTTCACTAGGAGGGTGGTGAAACACTGGAATGCATTACCTAGGGAGGTGGTGGAATCTCCTTCTTTAGAAGTTTTTAAGGTCAGGCTTGACAAAGCCCTGGCTGGGATGATTTAGTTGGGGTTTGGTCCTTCTTTGAGCAGGGGGTTGGACTAGATGACCTCTTGAGGTACCTTCCAACCCTGATATTCTATGATTCTATGATTCCTGCAAAAATAGGTATGAACTCAAGCTGATTGCATAAACATTGTCTACCCAGTCACTGATTCCTCTCACAATGAGCCACCTACTCTGTTCCACCCCTTACCGAGATCAAAGACTCTCTAGCCCCATTCCTATATTTCCCATTATTCAAGAGACTTTTTCTACATCTGACCTTCTATGTATGGCCTTTTGTGATAATTGGGCTGACAAATTTACCCTAATTATGAGCTCAAGTGTAAAGAATATATGAAAGTTCATAAGATGTTACAATATCCTATAACAACAAATGCTGATGGAAAGTAAGTCAAATTGTTTTCAGTAATGAATGTTATGAACAGGTGCAAGAGAACCAGAGAGAGAGACTAAATTAGTCCAGACAAAAGAGGCTGCCACATTGATGAGACTCAAGGACTCCCTTTAAATCATGCTTGGTTAAAAACAGATGTGGCACCAGATATTAATAGGCCTAATATCTGACACCAATTTTGGTTTAATTGATGGACAAAATAATGAGGGGATGGG